TTAAGTCTGGAATAAGAATAGGGTAAAATTAGAAGACAGGAGAACTTTAAAGCCACAATCTGACAATGGGATGGCATGCTTATATTTGGTACAACAAAGATAAAATACACTCCAATTTTCACCAATATGTAATAAGGGGGGCATTGATAAAATATTGGTGACATATAAAAGATAGATATTATGAAATAATACCAAGATGGGTCTCACCATTGGAGGCATTTATTAAGCCAACACTATTGACGAAAGATAGGATAATAATATATGACCACCTTCTAGATAAAAATATAAAATTCAAAACTTAGAGACAAAGAATATGATGTTAACATGGTGGGAATCGGCACAACTAATGTCTATATATAACAAAGATAAAGCAACGGGTTTTTTCAAGAGAAACAACGAATTAGATATGCTTGTCAACAAGTGACAAACTAATACAAAAACTATATAGACTCTTCTTAGAAATATATATGGAGGATGAGGTGGTTAAGCCTTCCATGCTAGCATGGATGAGGGATATGGGATATACTATAGAATTTGATGAATGGGATAAAATATGGAAGACAATGAGATATTTGGAATCAATTGCTTATAAAGAAAACCTATATAAAATGTACTATAGATGGTATTGGACTCCAGATAGAATTGCAAAATGTTCTACAAAAATATCAAAGAATTGCTGGAAATGTAAGAACAATGTAGGACTGTTTATACATATGTGGTGGAAATGTGGTAATATGCAGAAATTCTGGAAAATGGTTAAGCAATGGATATTAGAGATAATGAATGTGGATCTAAATTTAGTACCGGAAATATACTTATTAAATATTATCCCAGATAACTTTAACCAAAATGATAAATATTTACTAACATACATCTTAACATCATCTAGAATCATGGTAGCAAGATATTGGAAGACGGAAAAGTTACCCTCTAAGATAGAAATAGCAAAGAAATTGCTGGATATAGCTGAATTAGACAAATTAACAATGTTGTTATGTGGAAAAGAAGAAACTAAGTTTCAAAACAAATGGTTAAGAGTGTATAAGTGGTGGGAAAAAATTTACTATGTACAAGACCTCCAAAAAATGAATATAATTGTATAGAAATGTTTGTGGCTGTATAATGTAAAACTACATAAATAAAAAAAATTTTTTTAAAAAAAGAAGACTCATGGTGGATCTATCCCAACATCATCCTGTTTCTCATAGTGGTCTGCCAACCTATGATATCTCTTGTCATTTTGCCTTTCTGTCCCTATAATTCCACATGGTTTGTTCTATTCTGCCTAGGACCTATGGATAAGCAACCACATCAGAAATGGATGCAGAGTAATATCTAGCTCAAAAATCATGATGCTGTATTTGTGATGTTCTTTTAATACTTTGCACATGAAATCTTAACTGTAAGCAAATCAACATGAGTTCCTTAGGGTCACAGATACAAGCCACCTAGCTTGAATATGGCTGCACACTCTATTCCATACCCTCCATATACTAGTAAATCCAGATTAGGGCTGCCAAAAACCACCACAATCTCTCATCCCCCTCTCCTGCTATCAGCCCAAGCACCATATGGAAACATATAGCGTGACATTGCCAGCTCCATAGGCTCCCAGATCAGGGCCACTGGAATTTTGTCCTCCTAGTCTGCTTCTGTTGGAGGGCCTGATTTGGACTGCATTCTGTAAAGCACAGATTTCATGCACTGAGCTGCCTTTGAAAATTCTCCAAAGCCTATTTAAATGTGTAAACAAAGGTGGTAATTCCTTAGGTCTTACATAATACGTTCTATTTGGCCTTTTCCATTTTTAAAAAAATCCAATGTTCAGAATTTTCTATTAATCAGAGGGTCATTTTGTACACAATTTCATCTTTCTATTTTAATTATTCTTGACATCTTCATTTTCACTGGGGGGAAAAAGATTTCCAAATGTCCCATGTGTAGATGCTTCTAGGAATCAGGATGTCTTGCACTACACTGGCATCAAATTTTAACTCTACAAGTAGGGTTGAAGTATGTTACCTGTTTTGAATGCACTTCTTATTTTTCATCTTTAACCATAAGACATACAAATGGCCAGTTTCATATTTTCTAGCAATACAGATATAAGAATCATGTGTGAACTGAAATAGCAGGTTTCTAGAAGTCAATAAGAAGTAACCATTTTGGGGTAGATGTAATATACCAAAGTTTTTAACATGACACTTTAGTGTTCTATTTCAAAGCATTTTAATGATATTCACATCAAATTCCAGATTTCTTTTTTAAAATTCAGATCTTTACAAAGAAACTTGAGCACTTCCTAAAGTCCAATCCATCTCTAGTTTAAAACTAGTTATGAGACAACCAGTGGTCTCACTGGGGATGTGCACCCCATGCATAATAACTCATTCATACAATCAATTCAATGGTAGCTTAATAAAAATTGTGATGCAGATCTACGTTCAGGGCCAAACTACATATAATACCTAAGATCTATAATTATGATCTATGGGGAATGGAAGGGTGTTGCTGTTGTTCAGTTGCACAATCAAGTCCGATTCTTCGCGACTCTTCATGAAGGGTATTTTGTTTCTTTACCAGTTCAGTTATATGTCAGGGAGGAGGAGGAGGAGATTGGATTTGGATTTATACCCCGCCCTTCACCACCAGAAGGAGTCTCAGGGTGCATTCAGATGGGGCGTTTACAATGGTATAGGTGCCGGTTGGAATCGGTGTACTTACCAGCGTTCACACGTAGAACATCTGCCTTAAGAACATAAGAACATAAGATGTTGGATCAGGCCAAAGGCCCATCTAGTCCAACACTCTGTCACACAGTGGCCAAAAATACCAGGTGCCATCAGGAGGTCCACCAGTGGGGCCAGGACATTAGAAGCCCTCCCACTGTTGCCCCCCCAAGCACCAAGAAGACAGAGCATCACTTGCCCCAGAGCCCCTATCTATACCTTGTGGCTAATAGCCACTGATGGACCTCTGCTCCATATGCTTATCTAATTCCCTTTTGAAGCCGTCCATGCTTGTAGCACCCACCACTTCCTGTGGCAGTGAATTCCATGTGTTAATCACTCTTTGGGTGAAGAAGTACTTCCTTTTATCCGTTCTAACCCGACCGCTCTGCAGTTTCATGGAGTGCCCACGAGTTCTTGTATTGTGAGAAAGGGAGAAAAGTACCTCTTTCTTTACCTGCTCTTTCCCATGCATAATCTTATAAACCTCGATCATGTCACCCCTCAGTCGTCTTTTCTCCAAGCTAAAGAGCCCTAAGCGCTTTAACCTTTCCTCATAGGGAAAGTGTTCCAACCCTTTTATCATTCGAGTTGCCCTTTTCTGCACTTTTTCCAAAGCTATAATATCCTTTTTAAGGTGTGGTGCCCAGAACTGCACACAGTATTCCAAATGAGGTCTCACCATTGATTTATATAGGGGCATTATTATATTGGCTGATCTGTTTTCAATACCCTTCCTAATAATCCCCAGCATAGCATTGGCCTTCTTTATTGCAGTCACACACTGTCTCGACATTTTCAGTGAGTTATCCACTACAACTCCAAGATCTCTCTCTTGCTCAGTCTCTGCCAGTTCAGACCCCATCAATGTGTATTTATATTTAGGATTTTTGGCTCCAATGTGCATCACCTTGCACTTGGCCACATTGAACCCCATTTGCCATGTTGACGCCCACTCGCCCATCCTTGACAGATCCCCTTGGAGTGCCTCACAATCCTCACTGGTTTTCACCACCCTGAACAACTTTGTATCATCCGCAAATTTAGCCACTTCACTGCTTACTCCCATCTCCAAATCATTAATGAACAAGTTAAAAAGCAGTGGACCAAGTACTGATCCCTGCGGTACCCCACTGCTTACCACCCTCCACTGAGAAAATTGCCCACCTACACTCACTCTCTGTTTTCTATGAACTAGCCAGTTTTTGATCCATAAAAGGACTTGTCCTTCTATCCCATGATTTTTGAGCTTACTTAGGAGCCTTTGATGAGGAACTTTATCAAAAGCTTTCTGGAAGTCAAGGTAAATAATATCTATTGGATCCCCCTTGTCCACATGTTTGTTCACCCCCTCAAAGAACACTAATAGGTTAGTGAGACAAGATCTTCCCTTACAGAAACCGTGCTGAGTCTGCCTCAATAGGTTTTGTTCATCTATGTGCCTACTAATTCTTTCCTTAATAATGGTTTCCACCAATTTACCCGGTATCGACGTCAGACTGATTGGCCTGTAATTTCCCGGATCTCCTCTGGAACCCTTTTTAAAGATGGGAGTGACATTTGCTACCTTCCAATCCTCAGGAATGGAGGCAGATTTTAAGGAAAGATTACATATCTTTGTCAGGAGATCTACAAGTTCACATTTGAGTTCTTTCAGAACTCTCGGATGTATGCCATCTGGGCCTGGTGATTTTTCAGTTTTTAAGTTGTCTATCAGTTTTAGGACCTCCTCTCTCGTCACCTCAATCTGGCTCAGGTCTTTCAACACCCCTCCCGAAATCAGTGGTTCTGGAGTGGGCAAGCACTTTTCCTCTTCCACAGTGAAGATGGAGGCAAAAAATGCATTTAGCTTCTCTTCTACCACCAGTTCCATAACTGGTGGTATCCTAAGTGCACGGGTTGTAACCGCTTTACCCGCCGTTTGATTGCTCTCCACTGTTGTAGAGCCACTTCCGTTCGGAAGCCCAAGGCTTCTGCTTTTCGCCCGCCATTTTTTTTTGTTAGGTCGGCAATATGGGCTTGGGCGAAGTTTTGCCCCGACTTAGTCCTTAGTTTAAGGTTTTAGAGGAATCCAGAACCTCAGGGAGGCCAGTTTGGTCTTTAAACTTTAAAGGTAAGTCCTCTCTTCAGGGCATGCTTTTCGGGACGGGGTGTTTTGCGCATGTGCGAAGATCGCCATTCTGTGGATGGCTGCCTATGCACATGTGCAAACTGAGTTTAGAAAAAAAAAACAACCGCCGATGCCCACTGTGTGTGAACGGGCATACAGTGATGGGCTCTGCAGACAGGAGGTGAGTATGAGCGCGTTGCCGGCTGAAATGCCCCATCTGAATGCACCCTCAGAGTGGCTTACTGTCTCCTTTCCCTTTCCCTCCCCACAACAGACACCCTGTGAGGTAGGTGGGGCTGAAAGAGCTCTTTTTGAGAACTGTAGATGAGATAACAGATCTGAAAGAACTTGTTATGCCAGCAGGGTTCATGTGGAGGAGTGGGGGATCAAACCCAGTTCTCTCTGATTAGAGCCTATGCTCCTAACCACTACCCCAAACTGAGTGGCACAGCATCTGCAGATTCTTGGCAACTCCAGTTAAAAAGAATCAGGTAGTATGTGATGTGAAAAAAATCTCTGTCATGATATTGGAGAAGTCACTACTAGCACTGACCTTGATAGACCAATGGTCTGGTTCAGCATCATGGAATACAAAACAGATCAGGGCTGTGGTGCAGATAAGCCATGTGTCATTTTCACAAGTGACTATTTAGCCCATAAGGGAAAATATACAAGTAAGGAAATGTTGTAAGATCTTGGAAGCCAAGCAGGGTTGGCCCTGGTTAGTATTTGGATGGGAGACCACCAAGGAATCCTAGAGTAGCTACATAGAGGCAGGCAATGGCAAAACACTTCTGAATATCTCCTGCCTTAAAAACCCCATGAGGGTTGCCATAAGTCAGCTGTGACCTGATAAGGGGGGGGGGGAGGAAGTTTTTCCATAAAGAAAAACATTAACGTACCTATACAATATCTTTATGTGCACATGTGCTCATTCAGATCATTTACAATGCACACTGCTGTAGATCAAATAGCTGTTCTGGACACATTTGCATCAACAAAATAGTGTCACAGGCTATGCTCCCTCTAAGCTGTAGAGTCTTGTGAGCAAAAATTCTACTTTGTGAGCTACTGATTTGGCTACTGTATAAATTAGTTTGCTCTGGAACCATCCTTCCTGAGCTAAGACAAAAATGTGTGAGCTGGAGGCTAAAAATCTGTGAGCTAGCTCACACTAACTCAGCTTAGAGGGAACACTGGTCACAGGGAGTGCTAACCCTCTCTCCCCTGCTTTTAACATTCATAAAAAAGACTTTAAAAATCCATTCATGTTCTTCCCACATCCACAGCTAACTTTCCCCTCGTATGTTAATTTGCATCAGTATCCATACATAGGAGCTTGTGCTGCATGCACACATTCCTTACTCAATTAGAATGAACATCCTTCTGTATGCTGTGCCAAAATTCCTGTCTCTTTAATAGAGGCTTAATGTGTGTATGTGGGAAGCTGAAATAGCATCCTGTTAAGGCTCCACTAAAGGGATGGGGCTTTCCCTCCCCTCCAGGCAGTTGGCAAAGCTACTTCACTTTATGCACCTTTCCTAGGCCCATATTTTCATATTTGACTATTAAGAAGTTCTTCTCCCGCTTGTCATTTCACTTTCACAGCTCCTCATGTTGTCATTTCATGTTGTGACAAATTATCTTCTCACCATCCCATGTGCTTTTATGATTCCCAGATCACACTATTTTAATGAATTATGTGTGGTGTTTTTCTCCCCCCCCCCCAAGATAGTTTGATGACATCAACTGGTCCAGAAACTTCCTGACAGGTGGAAGCCAATTGGATCATATACGTTCTTCTTAAAAGTTACACTGCTTGTCACGTGCTTCTGCTACTGATTAAAGGTAAAGCTCCTACATAGTCTCCTAGAAAGACTGAAACCAGCCAAGGACACCCCTCTAAAAATATTTTAGGTGAACATTAGCTTGTACTCTCCTAGAATCCATTGACTCTTCCAGGGAGTCATAGTGATGTGGAGTGCACTAAGCTAGAAACCTCACTTAGCAGCACCATCTTTTGTTTCCCTTCAAAGGCAGGGAAAAAAATATTTCTGTTCCCCCAGGCCTTTGGAAGCCTAGCCTACATATTTTTGCTGCCACATGCCCAATTTATTGCGTTGATTGTTCATAACTTGTTGACATAGTTAAAACAGATTTAACAATTTTAAAATAAATTCTCTTTATGTTGTAAATGTGCTTGTGGGGGAAATGCAGCCTTGAATATTGACCCAAAGGAGAGTCCCTGGCTGGAGCTACCTTTCACAACCTTCCAGCCTATCCCTACTGTTCTCTGTTAGATGTTTTCCTTTCAACTCCACCCTTCTCTTAGGACCGATCATCCTGGTGTCATTCATTTCCAGGCATCTTGATCTCATGTGTCATTCCAAATATCCATACTCCCCTCCCTGGCCATTTTGTTTTCTGGTATTCATTTTGCCCCCATCCAGAATATATGTGTGCAGTTCTACAAACCACTCATCCCACACTTGGCACTTGCAAAGAATCGGCATTCGGGTACCTTCCTGAAGACCTTTGCAGTGTCTGCAGGCATTTTTTTTTAAAAAATAATAATAATAATTGTATGCTGTTAGCATATCTCCTGGTGCAATCCAGCCTGTGCATAGAGTTTCTTCACTATCCGTCTCCCCTGTCTACAACCTGTCGCACTGCATGTGCATGCGAGTCCCTGGCAGCTGCACGCATCCCCTCAGCATCTGTAGGCGATTTCCCCGGCAAGGCAGCCACTCGCAGCTCCTGCAAACTTCCCTCTCTTTGCCTCCTCTGCACTTGCATTTTGCTCCCTCTGGAGAGCTGTTCGCTTTCCCGCAGCCTCACACCAAGCTAGGGAGCTGCAGACCCCCCTTCCTTCACTTTTGCACTAGAGTAGAGGCTGGAAAGTAGAGTGGAGGCGGAGTCCTTCCGTGGCAATCTGTCAGGAAACGGTGGTAGAATGTTCTTGACAGCAACTGTTGCTGCTGCTGCTGCCTCCTTGATATAGCCAAGCGCGAAGAGGCGCTTGCAGTCACTTGGCGAGCGGCGCTGCTCGGGCTGTCGGGGTTGGGGTTGAGCGTGCGCGTGTGCTTGGAGGGGGCCGACCTGAGAGGCCAGCGGAGCAGCAACAGCGGCTGGGGCGGCGGCAAAGTAGCGGCTGGAGCGGGCTTTCCCTGGGCTCAGCACCTCGAACTTGGGAACTGTCCACCGGCGCGAGCTGCTGAAAATGAACCTGTCGACTCTCTACCTGCTCGGATTGTTCCTCAGTAGCGGGCAAGGTAGGAGCCCGGCTTGATTGTGTCTGTCGCGTGCCTCTTCCCAGTGTTTCTGCTGCTAATAATCAGAATGCAAATGAACGGAATATATAGATATATATATGTATCTTTAAGGAGGGGGGATCACATCCCAAGTCTCTATGCAGAAGCCTTTGCGTTGGGGCTCCCTGTGAAATCTGTCTGTCAGCGGGAAAGCAGCCCGGACGTTATTTATTTATTTAAAAAGGATGAAGAACAGCCAGAAGGATGCTAACTGCAGTTCTCTTGGAGCTTATCTCTTTCTGTCCTGTTATACGGAACAATGGTTCTCCTTGTTCCTTGGCATCTGATTTCTTTTTTCATATGCAGTGAAGGGAAAGGGGTGAAATGTAAAGCGTTTTAAAATGTATTAATTATACTTGGCATTCCTTAAAATAAAGGTGTCTGTGGGATAATGGATGGAACAGACCACATCGGCGAGAAATTCTTGGGGGGTTTCATCCCTGCCAAGACGGAAAATTTCTCCTCCTCTGTCTGTGTTTCTGTGCAGTGAGCTTTCTTCTGTTTGCTTCCCAAATTGCCCTAAGCAGACATTCGGTTCTGTTTTGTATATCTATAGGTATGCACATAGCAGGTTTAATGCAAGGTGGTTCTTAGCAGGTATACATTCAGAAAGTGAACGGCAGTCGTAGAGCAAGAAGTGATAAAAGGCAAAGGGTGCACCTGTATGCCTCTGGTGTTCACGTGTGTAATGCATGTGTACTCAAATATATATTCAAGTAGCTCTTCTGTCAAAACACAAACTGGGCTTGGCTTTTATGTGCTCTTTGCTGGTTACTTCAGGATTCCCGGACTTTTTGGAAGGGAGAGGTAGCTCTGCACTGTGTGGATGTGGTACAATACCTCTTTGTGCAAATTAATTGCAACATTTCAAACTGTTCAGACAAGTTTTTGGCATGAAGTAAAGACTGAATTAAATTGGTAGAGGTTCTTGCTTTTCTTTTTCAGTGGGAGAGTTTAGTTTTCATTGTAAGTCATTATGTTCCACTTCATTTAAAAAAAGAAGAAGAAGCAAAAGAGATGTTGCAGAGAAGACCGCCTCTCTCTCTCTCTCTCTCTCTCTCTCTCTCTCTCTCTCTCTCTCACAGACATGCACACACAATTAAAAATAATAAGAAAAAATCATAATTTTTCGGGCTGCTCTTTTTACTGTGTTATTCTGTCCAGCAGGGGGCGATAGAGTTCCATTGAATAGCTAAGTTTGTTAATTTTGCACTGTATCAAGGCAAGGCTTTTACATAGCTAGAAAAAGAGTGAGCCTGTCTTCTATCATTCTTCAAGCACAGCTTGACATTTTGGATGTGATTCCTTCTATTCTCTGTTCTCATCTCCAACCCCCCACCTCCACCCACTAGAGGAACTAAGCCCACACAAGAAGATGCAAATTAGGTGCATGAGCCTTTCCTGTGCATTATTTCCTTCTCCTCCAAAAATGTTATGAATTTTATGCATATGGACTGTTTAAAATAAAATATGCACTTAAAAAAAAACACCAATTTGTGCACTGTTGCACATTTATAAGCCAGTGATAAGAGGCCTTCACAATTGGAACACTATGGAATTATTTATCTCAAGTCTTTGGAACACAAGTCACTGGATACTATTGTCTTACGCTGAAATGCAGCTGTGTGCTTTTGCCATCTCTGGGGCGGGCTCTGGAGCAACTGCAATTAGTAATTCAGCAACAGCCATGAGGATTTTCATCAGAGCTACAGGCATAGCTAAGCAAAGGAGCATAATATCAGGGTAGCCATTAGTTCACATCTGCTTAATAAGCTAGCTTGTGTGGAAAGTGTTCATAACCATTAAGAATTAAATCTATGCAATAGTGCATTATTGTTCTATTGATGTCCAGGGAATATTGCGGTATCCTATAAACTGCATCACTGCAAGCACCACATCATTTATTTATTTATTTATCGCCCTGATGCCTTGCTATTCTCTGGAGAGTTCAGAGAAGCTTACATATGAGTCTAATAGGTCTGACATCCAGGAATGGATCTGGTTAGCTTCTGCTGCATTTTATGCCTTCTAGACTGGTCCTCTGGGCCAAAGAATACTGAAAATGAAATTTATCATGAATTAACAACTCCCAAGAGAAGCTATATGTTATTAATTCATATAAGCCAGTGTGCAGAATATGTTCTGTATTCACATAGCAACCCATTTCTGTTTATTGATTGATCTTTTTATTTACACATTTCTATTCCCCCCATCTCCTCAGACAAAAGACTCAAGTCATTTCAAAAGGACTTAAACCTTGTCCTTCTAGGTTTAAATGCAACATGCTATATGTTTGGGCATCTTCTATTCAGCACGATCTCCACCACACATGCAAATTGATTTTTTGTCTTCTAATTTTCAAATGGTTTTGGTGGCAGTGTCAGGTTATCTATAGGTACAAGCTTCCCAAACAATGGTGTAATTAAAAGAGGGCAGGGAGGGAGCATCAGGAATTGCTGTATCTCTCCTACAGCCTTTCTTGGCTAAATTAAATGGCAAGAAAGAGGAGAAATATTCATTAATTTGAATCCAAATATGGAGACAAAGCATGTCTGAGAAAGGGAATTACAAAAGAGCAACTTTAGAGAAAATGTGAAGAAAAATGTAAGGAGGTTTTGGTAATGCTGCTAACCACCACCACAGGGACAGGCTTTCTGTATGCACCTTTAGTGTCTTTGGATGCCTTTCTCACTCTCTTGATATTTGAAAGGAGTGGGAGCACATGGGAAGCACAAATAAAGTAGGCAGTAATCACTGGGGTCATTTGCTTTAGATATATAAACCCCCAAGGTTCAGGTTTTATGTTAGCAATAAAGTTACAGCAGAGTTTATGAAGCATGATTGAAGCTTATTTCTTTAGGAAGTGTTGCATTGTTTAACTGGCAAAAAAAGATAATGTATTTTGTTCAAAGCAAATAGTTACAAGGTTCCTTTGAACCAGCTGCTTAAAATGACAAGAGCAAAGCATTAACAGACCTAAGTGCTGATCAATGTTATCGCAGTCATAAGTTTTATCAAAAAACCAACAAATTCTATTGTTCAGGCAGTTTTATTCTAAACTTCATAAGAAAACATGTATTTAAAGATTTGGGGGTTGGAGAATATTATCTGAAAATTAACGAAAATTGTAAGCAGTAAGCATCAAATACTACGGTTCTTATTACATTACTGGTAGGCTACTGTTATAGAACAGCATTGTTGTTTTTAGATAATTAACCCACATTTAACTGTATGGAATTCAAGTCCAGAACATACAAGGTTTAAACCATTTATGAAGGATGGTAAGATTGCAAATATAAGACCTCCTGCAGTGCAATCTTAAACAGAGCTGTACCCTTCTAAGCTCACTGACCTCTGCTTAGAAATATATTGTTAACATCTTCTCTTCACTTATGTCAAACAATTCTTTGAGATTTCACATTTTCCTTGGGGTTTTTTTGGGTGGGGGGGTTGGTGAGGGAACAGGAACATGGTTTCTGTAGAAAGGTGAAGTTGTACAGCAGGTTTGGGTTTTACTTTTGTGCCCAATGTGATATGAATAAACAGAAGTCCATTAACTACCAAGTTTCCTACATAGTTATCAATACAAAACTTCCCTGATAACATTGCCGTCTCCCCATTCAAAATTCGTTCTCTGGACAGTTGTTTAAGAATTCACCAGTGGGCAATTTTTAATGATACCCCCCCAAAAAAAAAATTTAACTACAAAATGATGACTTTTGCATAGGGTCAAAGGCATCCTTCAGCCTTCTAAAGATTTTTTCCTGAGTGGAAGGCACACCTTTAGATCTTATCTCTTGCTAACATCAGGATATTAAATATATGAATTTTATATAGGCATCTTTCCCCAAGGTAAAAGAAAGCCTATTTTCTAGTTGATTTTGCAATGAACAACTAATTGGAAAAAAGACAATCATGATAATCAGCTTGTATTAGTCTTTATTACAATCATCTAAAATAACAGCCAAGGACAAGTAAATAGTCATCTTCCTGTTTCCTGGAAAGGGAACTAGGCTGATGCTGAAAGGTGATTACGAAAAATGTTACTGTGCCAAATCAAAAGCTCTTCTTTGGATAGAAATAAGAATGCTGTACCCTTTCTTTGAAACGAAGGAAGTGTTTACCATGTGGACAAAAGAGGTAAAGAAAGTTCACATAAGAAAGAAGAAAGTTATATTTGAAAAATTAAATCATTTTGCTAGCATTCAGTACCATTCCACCCTTCTTTCTCAATCAAGTATGAAATTATTTTCTTTGCTAACTTTTAAAAACAGCTTTAGAGGTGAATATTACAATGACATTTCAACTTTTTCTCCTTCAGATTACATGGACTTTCATCCATATACATTAGTTTAGTGGGCCAGTTTATAAAGCTGGAGAAGATGTTAAGACAATATTAACTGTGTTGTTACTTTTTTGGCTGGAGTCTTTGTGCAGTTGGTAGGACTCTTTCATTAAATGCAATGGGAGGCCTACATGAAACAAAAACACCTCTTCAAATTAATTAATGACAAATTGTACCATGAATCATGCTTTTATTATTAATTACCAACATATTAATGCTGCTCTGTGCCAGGCTTTCAGGGTGGCTCTTCCCCACCCCCAAACAAAAAACAGCCCAAAGAAAAATTCAAAACCTAGCTAAGGGCCATACACTGATGTACATGCAAAATGCAGAGCCAAGAGATTCAAACCCTTATTATATCTAAGTGATCACTTTTAAATTTTCATGGTTGTAACCTTGCATAAACAGTATAACTGGCAGTCATTTCCATAATTATAACATTTTTTCTGGTTCTTAAATTTGTGAGAGCTGAAGCAGGTTGTATCTACAATAACTCAGGATATAGATTGTGTGGAATTGTACTTGTGCAGTCATTAGGACAGTTCATATGAAGTAATAGGTATTGTGAGAAATGGTCTTCAGGGAACCTGAAAACAATCAATTCAGCTGTCATATC